AAAAAAAAAAAAAAAAAACATCGTTTGTATTGTATGGCAAAAATATATTTATGTTATCTTATTATAATAATTTTTGTGACTCGTGTGATATGATGAACTTATAGATGACATTTGACATATTTAGATGCATTTTGAGAACAAATTGATATGATTTGCCTTGTTTATCGTTGGATTGTGCAGGGTTTGATTTATTAATCTATAATAGAAATATATTTTTCATTAGTTTTGTAGGAAATATACCCAAAAAACATTAAAAATAGAGTCGGAACGAAAAACGGGGAAGATAAGGTGTGCAAGAGACATGATGCGAACGGGACATTGGAGCTCAACCGCGACAGGCCCAAGGCCAAAGCTTGTCCCAACAGCGACAAGCCAACATGCAAGAGATCCACAGTCTTCTAGCGGCAGGCCCAACCACGAGCTACATACCAACCCGAGGCAATAGGCTTGGGCCATCACCAGCGGTAGGCCAAGGCCATAACGAGCGGCATACCATCACGTCATCTTTATATCACGAAGGTCTCACCAGGCAATAGAGGCTATCTCGATCACAGAACTCGCGGTGCGCAAGGTGCGCGCCGCGACACTTTACAAGGCGTCACGCCATTAGGACCTTCATGAGGCAACTTAGGTGGATTCTAGCCTAGGTCTAGCTGCGAGGCAAACTGAGTCTTTGTGGGATCAGTTTCTTTAGTTCTCTTTTTCAAATTGTCTTTGTTCTATGAGAAAGAATGTACAAACAACGACCCAAGCCGCGGATCAAAAGGAGGTTGCTCCAAAAGATCGCCAAACACACGTGAAGGGGCGTTCCATATTTTTCGTAATGCACTCGTAATGGCAAATTATATTTGTCGTCTGACGGATCCATGATATCCGAGCAGTGGCCAAAAGTTCAGATCGAAATTGTGAATGACAAAGACAACTGAACAAGGGAGTCAAACCGGCAGAACAAGTGTTGGTTCGCCGACGATCGATGTTGGGAGTCAACGTTCTAGTTCGAGATTCTCGAATTATATGGGGGCGTGGAAGTCGTCGAGTTCGTGAACAAGCTGGTATCGATCAATTACGAGAGCACCTCGTTTTGATGACGAAACCCATGAGACAGGTGAATGTGGTGATCATTTTTCCTTGTTGATCGTGGACGATAATGCTACTCATAGAGTCTCGAAGCCGGAAGTGTTCTCATAAATTTTGGATGAAGATAAACAATTGGACTCCAACGACCGAATAGCTAAATTCGAATCAGAGTTAGAAAATCTGTCAGAAGAAAATAAGGATGAGGAGACGATTCTTGGGGCTAAAAATTCACCCAAGAAATTTGTACTAAAAGAAATCGCTATGTCGCAATTCAAAATAGCCGAAAAGCCAACAACGTTGTGGAAGATTGGAGACGTCGAAACATTGAACTCTTCAGTTGACGGAATAGTGATAGTAAGCGTGAAATGGCTTCGTCCCACTGGATTGCGAATCACAATGGCCAACAACAAAGTCGTACAATTAAGGGTCGGGTCGTGCAATTTGAACCACTGAAAGAAAGGAAGCTTGGTCGCGCCGGGTTGGGAGAGGATGATGGTGACGCGCGTCTATGTAGATGATAGGTGGTCCAGCCAGATTGCAGTTCTCGGCGGCGAGGAACGTGACAATGCGTGGTCACGACAAATTGATAAAAAAAGGATTATTTGAGACCGACTAAGGTGGCGAATATCATCAACAATGATGACGCCATATTCAAAGTAGATGCTACTCATAGAGTCTCGAAGCCGGAAGTGTTCTCATAAATTTTGGATGAAGATAAACAATTGGACTCCAAGAGCGACCAAACAGCTAAATTCGAATCAGAGTTAGAAAATCTGTCAGAAGAAAATAAGGATGAGGAGACGATTCTTGGGGCTAAAAATTCACCCAAGAAATTTGAACTAAAAGAAATCGCTATGCCGCAATTCAAAATAGCCGAAAAGCCAACGATGTTGTGGAAGATCGGAGACGTCGAAACATTGAACTCTTTAGTCGACAGAATAGTGACGGTAAGCGTGAAATGGCTTCGTCTCACTGGATTGCGAAGCCCAATGGCTAACAACAAAGTCGTACAATTAAGGGTTGGGTCGTGCAATTTGAACCACTGAAAGAAAGGAGGCTTGGTCGCGCCGGGTTGGGAGACGATGATGGTGACGCGCGTCTATGTAGATGATAGGTGGTCCAGCCAGATTGCAGTTCTTTGCGGCGAGGAACGTGACAATACGTGGTCACGATAAATTGATAAAATAAGAATTGTTTGAGACCGACTAAGGTGGCAGATATCATCAACAACAACGATGACGCCATATTCAAAGTAGATGTGCTCGCCTGTAACATTTTTTCGAAGATTGTTGAGCCTATTCAAAGTAAATGTACTCTTGTCAAGCTTACTAGGTTATTTGATCAAAAGATTCTTGGACGTTTCATGGGCACAAAAAGTGGCTTTGGGTTTGTGAATCAAGAAAGCGTCGTCAAGGTTTGTGATCAACCCTTCATCTCATATCTATCTCCTACACCGGTCAGTTGCCACCAAATTCTAAACTTTATCCTTGAGGACATGATATACTCAAACATGGCGGGAATGATGCGAATCGGGCATCCGAGCACAACTGCGACAGACCCAAGGCCCAAGCTTGTCCTAGCCGCGACAAGTCCACATGCAAGAGATCCACAACATGCAAACAGCAGGCCCAACCACGAGCCACAGACCAACCTGAGGCAGTAGGCCTGGGCCAGCATGAGCGGCAGGCACATGCCACCACCCAACGCGATCCATCGAGAAGAAGTCACACGGTCTACGACCAAACACACTGGATCTAGAAACTTCCCTAATGAATAACTAAACCTAGGCCAACGGACCTAGAAACATCCACCACTACACCACAAAAACAGCGCCATGCAGGTTCGCTCCACAGTCCCCCCATGCAAACACCGAAACCGCATCACTATCATGCCGCCACCTCCCCAAACTAGGGAAGACCGAAAAAGGGGGGAAACAAAGTTCAGACTGCCGGGCCGACCGCCAACGGCGTCCACTAGTGGGCCGAAACAACTAGAGCCTTTGAACCTTGAACATCCACCATGGCAAACTGGAAAAGGTCAAACATCCCGGCGGAGAGAGAGACCTAAAGCCTACCGGAGCAACGTCGCTGGGCCCACGACAAAACAAATGCCAGTTGACATCAAAGGGTGCGAGGAGTCGCCAGAGAGGAGGCACTGCAAGGAAGAAATATGAGAAGAGTTTACTGTTTAGGCAATTGTGTAAAGAAGAACGTGCAGACACAAGGATATTATCCCAATTTTTCAATCATTCATAAATACATATAATGATATAATTATGAAACACCAAAAATTAACATATAAGCTCGGGAAACTGTACATTAATTAATATATTGGAATGGATATTATTTGAAAAAAATAAAGGAAGTCAGTTTACAATTACAAGAAATCAGAACCAAAAAAAGAAAAACGTTAATAATAAAAAAAAAAAGAAAAAAAGTTAATAATAAAAAACTTGCAACACTTGATGTTTGATTTGCCTTTGCAATATATCGATAAGCTGGTTGTTACCTTAAATTCCCTATTTTTTTTTTATTTTTTTTTTTTCCTTCCTTGAAGGACAAAAATCATTAAGTTTGTGGAAATTTAAATCCCCTCCCCTCTATATATAATTCCCGAATGCGTTGAGTCTACGTGGTTGCTTCTGGTGCTCCAAAATCTTACTTGGCGAAGAATCACGCTTTGTAATTAGGTTTGGACAAATAATATTGATATATTAGTAATTAATAATCTAGGTTCGGACATTCCATTAATATTATTTAGCTAACTTAGGTATTTTAATATCACTTGTACTAATATAACCTTTTAATTCTCTGTAATTTTACATAGTGAGGCACTAAGTGACTAATATGTCTCTGACTTTTGATTTGTTTCCTTCAATTAGCTATTGAATTATAAATGTATTTTAAAATTTAATAAGTTTTGTATTTATTATTGGTTTTACATATATAATATATCAAAATAATTAATAATTATCTTTTCATGATCTTCGATTTGACATTCATATTGTATATATAAAATAAATAAATTATATTTATCTTTATAATAATAAAAATAATAATATTTATTAAAATTTATTAGAAAATAAAATTATTTTTCAATTGATATATTTATGTATAATGTAGTTATATGTTGTAAGTTAAGAAAATTATTATAATATAACACAAATAAATCACACAAATAAAAAAATGACATACTAAATATATAATAATATATATATATATATATATATATATATTTTAATAAAAGATATTCAAATTTTCAACTACTTTTTCTCAATAATTTTAGATTTTAAGGAAAAAATTAGCAACCACTCGTGTAATACACGGGCGTTGTACTAGTTTTTAATATTTCATTTATGCCATTGAAAATAGAGATTCTCCATAATAATTTTGCCCCCAAGACCCGGATACACACTACAAAAAAATAGAGTTCTAGTGAAGAATTTTTTTGTCACTATATCTACGATTGTTGTCACTATGTTGTCACTATATCTATTGTCAGTATATCTACAGTTGTTGTCACTATATCTACAATTATTGTCACTATATCTACAATTGTTGTAGATATAATAACAATAATTGTAGATATAGTGACAGTAGATACAGTGACAACACAGTGACAACAAAATTCTTCACTAGAACTCTATTTTCTTGTAGTGACATGCCTAATTAGGGTAGTACAAACTTAAAATTATAACTCTTACAGTGCAAGATTTGAATAGCTGTTACAGAGAGAATTCAATACAATAATCTGAAAATGCCATCTGGTATTCCTTCTGCATTTATTCCTTATGTTGTACTCCCCAAAATTCCCACCTCAAGTTACCTATACTCAACAAAAAAAATGACAACTAGCCTTATTTTAAGACAAGATTGTTCATCTGAAAGGATCATATACAAGTACAATCTTTTATTCGGATATGAATTTGTGGCATAAGCTATAGGACGAGCCAAGTAACTGTATACGGCTACTCTAGAGCAAAGCCACGGTCACAAATAGCACCACAGAAAATGATGTTTATAGCTTAAGAAGCCCACAAGAAACTCAGAGTGGCAAAACGGTAAATTGCAGCTTCAATCCCTTAACGACTCTTGGGCAATTTCTAATGCCTCCTCAACTGAAGATGCTTTCTGAAGCTTGGTTTTATCAACGGAAGGTTGGCTCCGTGCAAGTTGAGGAAGAAGTTGGAACTCCTAAAGTACATCATTACAGAATTGGAACATGTGAGGAACATAAGGGTAAGCACAAAGATGAAAATTTTGGTTTATTAGCTAATCCTATGGAGTGGGTTTTGTCATTATACTAACATAATGTACATCGTTTTGGCATTGTCTATTGAAATATTTTTAAATATCAGAATATAAAGCACATTAACCCTGCTTTCCAAGGGTTAGACACAATTTAAAAGCTCAAGTTCTCTCCCAAGTTCCACTATAGCCTACGCTTATTTATATACATCATATGTATTATCAAGATATGGAATATAACACGATTCTTAATTTTGAAAACGGTATCACATTATCTCATACCTCTGGGCTTCCACCTTCAAGAAAAACTCCTTTCAGCTTCCCTGCAAGCACGAAAAAAATTTTGTGCGTCAAATTCTAATAGCGCTCCTTTCTCAACGAGATGCGTAAAAGGCAACTCACTTCCCTGACTAAGAGTCCCTGGTTGACCTTTTTATCCAAATTCACTAAACGAAGCTTATTTAATTAAAAAAAAAGGGAACTAAAATGAAAGGACGAAAAAAGGAAACAGCTTAAAAGAAATGCAACTTATGGGAAAAGGAAATCAAGAAAAATTGATTAAAGAAGCCAAGGTGAAACAATGATATGTGAGAATATTCACTATAATATCCAAATGGCATCGAGAGGAAGTGCTTACCAGAGTCTATCCAGAACGTGGCAACTTTTGGATCAAAATTCCCAATTTCAATGGTTTCCCCAACTGCATATAACTAACATTATATGGCAATCTAAAAAGCAGCAAATCTGAACATATATCATAAATGACATATTTATACCGTTGTCTCCGAAAAACTGCCACCATACTTTCCTCGGGCTCCCTTCATATTCAAATACTCTAGAGTAGAAGTATGGGAGGTAGTCATACCTAAATCAAAACATTACACATTGGATTGACAAAGATAAATACTTTCACAAAAGTTTTCTGGAAAAGATTAATATGAGAAACATGTCCAGACTTACGTATCAGTGTGTGCAGTCAGTAGTGACTTAACACAGTGCTGCGCCGACCTACGGGCATGATCAACATGTTCAACTCGTGCTATTCGGTTGTAAATCTGTTATCAAATTACAGCCATTTGATATCTTGGCTACATATAGGAAATTTTCTAATGATGCTCAATTTTTCAGTGAAGAAACGTACCTTTAATGGAAAAGCTGCAACATCACCAATTGCGAAAATTCCGGGTATGCTTGTTCTGAATAGTCCATCAACCTGAACTTTTGAACATGAATAGAAAGTGGAACTGACTGTATATTATGATTCAGTAATTGCAACTGGTACTTTGATAAAAATTATATACTATCCATTTTTTTTATTTTGTTATACTCTTAATCAGATATTTTCAATTAAATAAACAATAGATCACACGGTTCATAACTGGAAGATAGTAGTGCAATAACTTGAGATTTTAGTTGTTTTTTTTTTTTCCCAGAAGAATAGAACCATAATAATAAATAAATAACATACTGTGAAAGCAATTGCCTTAAAAGATGAATGTAACCCTAGCAGAATATATTGTCTATCATGCCCCTTTATCAAAATAAATAATTCCAACTGATGTATACCTGTATTCCGCCCATAGTTTTATTTAGACCAACCGTTTCAAAGGGGCCAGTAGCTGGCTTAGCTCCAATACCAATAACAACCTGCACGTCAAATGCATAGCCAGGTAAATTTACTTGTGCACTTTGTATTTAGCTGATAACATGATTAATGTGAGTTTCAAAGATTAAAAATGTAAAAAGAAATTACATATAATAGACAGGTTTCTGATTTAGTACCGTGTCTGCTTCAATGGTACAACCATTCTCGAGTTTGACACCAACTACATGACCATCTGAACCAGCTTCTAAGTTCTTTATTGAAGCACCCTGAAAACACAAACTTGAATTAGAATACATCTAAACATTTTACATTTTCTATCCTCCCAGGGGTTTGGTGTGAAGAGAAAGGGGAGGATGAAACAGAGAGCAAGTAGAGCACTAACCTTAAGAAATTTGACACCATAATCTTGGTATAACTGTTCGTACTTTTGTGCCAGAGAAGGTGTAAACAATCTTGTCATCAGATGGTCTTCTGGAAAAATAATCTATATGAACACAAAGAAAATCAAATTAATCTATATGAACACAAAGTAACCAGAATTTACTAAAATTGAGGTAAGCTGCATATGTAGATCCTTCTGTTCATACATTTAATAGTCATTGGATCTTTAGAATTTGAAAAATAATTATAAATAGCTATACAGAATTAATATGATTGCTTCCAGCTAACATGCATTAACTTTAAAACTGGGTATTTCGAATGCAGCTTAACTGTCACCATGCTCAAACAACTACTTGTAAGGAAATATAAACACTTACAGTTGTGTCAACTTTCCAACCAACAGCTGCTGCAGCAACTTCCATGCCTATATAGCCACCACCAACAACCACAACTTTCTTTGCCTTCTCCTAAGAAAGAAAATGAAGCCATAAATGTTGCATAATAATAGTCAACCATAAATATTCTATCAAGTGCAATGACTTTTAGAACCAAAAAGTTATATAATTCTCTGAAAAGTCAACATACTGGTTGTAGATTACCAGTGATGATATCAGGGAATTAGCATCTGCAACATCTCGAACATAATGAACTCCCAACAAATTACCTCCAATTTTATCTGGAAACCTGAAAAGCCGAAAAATATTAATTGTTGCATTTGGTGAGTAACAATTTTATACTGGTCACGGCTGAAAGTAACTTTTCCACTTTGTAACTTCATAACAGCAGACCACCGGTTTAAGTATTTATAAGTGGTGGCACTGACTAGAGTGAAAAATAAGCGGCTATAAATTCCAAGATTTGCGAATACGTCAATATGATGCAACTTTTACAGAAAGAATATAATTCTGCCTCAAGGGAAAATCAAAGGGAGCACACCTACGTAAACCGTATACAAGGACTTGCCTGGGATGCCTGGGATGTTCATTGATATTAATGATATTATACCACAAATTGGCAACCCATTTGGGATTCCTAGTCCATACACTTAAGGACAGAGATAATGACAATGTTCAACGGGGAAAAATGGCTAAAATACCTCGACGCAGTACATCCAGTAGCAATTATTAGTGATCCATACTTCAGCAATTTTCCTGAATCTGTTATCAAGGTTTGCTTCTCAGTATTGATGGCTGCAACAGGATCTTCATGCAACATCTGTACAATAATGGGGATATGGTTTAATGGAATGGCAAGCCTCATAAGTTGCATTTCCACCATTTTGCGTCTTGAAATAAATGACAATATTTAGGAAATAGCTCTAGGAGATAGATCCCTGACTTCCATACTTCTCTGTTTCTTGCTAACAATAATATCACAAATATTTTTACATAAAAGTAGAAGAACTGCAGGCTAAGATTTGATTTATACAGCGAGCTATCTTTTTTGTCAAGTTTAAAGAAATGAGAAGGCCATTTCTTACTATATAGAGCCATGACAGATATAAGTTAGCAATCAAACAGTCATAAATAAAAAGTAAACTGCAGCGCACAGTTTGAATTATTATCTCATGCTGGGTCTAACTGATACTTCAAGATAAAAAATGTTCACATTATTACTTAGTGTCAGACAATCATAAGAGTAACCCAACAAGCAAAGTGCGCACTCAAGGATAAACGTAGTCTGATGAAGTCCAATGGAAAAGTTAAAAAGAATAAAAATTATCCAACAAGTGAATTCTTCATTTACAGCAAAGGAGGGGAAAAAACAATTAATATAATAATTATTTAGATGCTACGTAATGCGTTGTTTTTTAACAAGATTATATATAATAATCTCATTCCAAAAGAAAAGGCATTATACTTTTTACCTCTATCCCTTTCTCCTTATACCATTCAGGAGTCTGTCTTTCCCCACCAGAGCCAACACAAGTATGGAAGCCCTACAAAAACAAATAAAAAGAAACAATGATTTAACCTAGAGAAAAGACAGAGAAGTAATGAAGGAATTCTTATCCAGATTTAGCCATAGATTCATAGATAATCAGCAAAAAGTCCTGAACAGTCGTCATCATCATTGCATCTTCTACATGAATTCATTCCATGACTACATTTTCTTATAAAACTTGGCAAATAATCAAAGATTAAAGAAAGCAATAACCAATTCAAAATCAAATACAAAACTATTCTTGAACTTATGAAGAAACTCTTACAGATCACATCATGCTCACCGGTAATCGTGCTGGTTTTTTATCCAGAGGGAATAGATATCCTTTCGTCAATGCAGGCCGCTCATAAGGAGCATATGGCTGTATTTAGGAAGAAAAAATAAGTTACTTAAACCAACCAACGCAAGGATTCACGCCAGCAGAACTGAAAATTCAGGTGTAATGCATTTTGGTTTTACTAACAGCCACAGCCACAACGTAAGATACACATAATGGGACTCCACAGTTATTATCCTATGTTCCTTTGCCAAGCTAAATGACAAACTCAAGGGCAGGGAGCACATAACCGATCATTTCTAGTACCTTGTGAATCCCAAGGTGATGAATGAGGTAAAACTACACCACATATCAAATTCATAACAAACACACAAGTTAAGCCATACACAGATGGCCGACAGCCACACGCGACACACACACACACTAAGTTCTCTACTGAAGCTACAATAAGCTGGAATTCGCCACGCTCTAGTCTGTTCACATTTTGTTATGGCTCACACATACTTCTGCAACTTCAGTACCCCATTATCAGCATAATGAATAAACTAAATCCATAAACATTACATTTAGCAGCCATTTGCTCGAGATAAAATAAGTCGTATACCTCTTTAGAGACAATGCAAAGTTTCCCATCAGCCATACCATGCTCCACAAAAGTACGAGCTGCATAACCAGCTGCGTTTCCACCTCCAACTATCACAAACCTGACAAAGAATAAAAAAA